TAATAGATGATAGATAATAATAACAATAATAATAATAATAAATAAAATTACAAATATGTATATTTTTATGAAATTATAATCATGCATATTCATTAGAGGATAAAAATGAAAAAGACTTTATCATTTCGTTGTTTTTAAATTAAATTATAAATAATTTTAATAATCATGAGACGATTGCATTATGCAATTATTTCATAACATTGCAATATGTTAGATCAATTCTATAACGTACAGGGGCTATTTTCCTATTTAATCAAAATAACGTATTCGCTAGAATAATATAGTGATAAAAACTTATCTCTTTCAGTTTCTGCTTTTCATTTTAGAGTGACATTCTGACTAATATTGATTATCCTATCATGTATGCATCCTTTTAGATAAATTCAATGACGTACATGGACATGGTCGTCTCCGAAACGTTACGAATGTATCCTCCATTAGGATTTTTGGATCGAGTTGCTATTAATGATTACAAAGTACCAGATTCTGATCTACTCATTGAAAAGGGTACTCCAATTATGATATCAATGATTGGTATGCATTACGATGAACAATACTTTCCTAATTCAAAAAAATTTGACCCTGAACGATTTAATAATGTTAATAAGAAAAACAGACCCGGTTACGTTTATTTCCCGTTCGGTGAAGGACCTCATATTTGTATAGGTAAATTACAACAAACCATGGTGTTATAAATACCATGTTTATAGTTGTTCTTTTGTAAAAATTGTGCAACATCTTTTTACTTTTTTTAATTAAATTAAATGCAATTAATAATATTATTTTCGTTTTTGTAGGTGCACGAATTGGATTATTGCAAGCAAAATTAGGGATTCTACATTTACTCAAACAACACGAATATTCTCCGTCCGAGCATACAACAATACCGATGCGTTTAAATCCAAAGGGTGTGACAGCAACACCAATCAATGGAATTCAGTTAAATGTTCGAAAATACATATAGAATGTTGCCTAAATATTTTAGAAGGATTTCCAATGTAATAATTATTCTAATGTAGATTTAATGATTTCATTTTTAAAGAAACCCAAAAATAATTAGATTAATCTGTTTCTCTTTTTCGATATAATTGGACATCGTCTTCTTCTGAATTGTTTTCTTTTATTCCACTTTTTTAGATGTTGTTTTTCTTCGTAATTCGGTACGATTATTTGTGATTAATGTTTGTGTATTGTGTATACAGTTTATTTCACTCGGATAATTTTCTTTTACAAAACAGATAAACCTGTCTACCTTATTAAAATTCAAGGATCATTTACATAAAGACATTGCTACAATATATTTTTTAATTACGACATCTTGCAATTAAATGGAATGATAGATACCATGTAGTCGACAGTATCGTATACTTTATTTACCTCGTTCTTATTGTGTGTGTATATATATATATATATGTGTGTGTGTGTGTGTGTGTTTGTAAGGTATGTATGTTTTTATGTGTATATTCCTGTTTGCTTATTTGTGTATGTACGTTTAATAATATTTGCACGTCTTAAATATTTTTTTCCATTTTCAAACATCATTTAATTTCATGCATATGCGATGATTATAATAATCTTCCAATACTTCTTATGTATATATTCAAACATGGATTTAAGTATCATCAAATTCATTCCATTAACTTCAAAGATTAAATAATTAATATTTCAATTTTGATGATATCGAGTTGTCCGGAATGTGATTTCGTCTATATTGATACTTAACTTTATACTCTACACAAGCTAATTATTGACTTTACGGCAACAGAAATTTCAGATGTTATTTGAAACTTTCTTGCGTCTGGATTTGTYCTTTGCATCGCATTAGAAATAAACAGTCAACATTTTCATTAAATTTAGCTTATTTTCTTTTGTTTTTTCATAATCATGAGTGTTTTATAAACAATATCAGTAAGGTAACGCAGTACAAGGAAAAACAGTTACATAAAATTTATGGAAAATTATCCAGTTGTAGGAAACAACAGCAGAATAAATGCGTTGACCGATGTTAATTGTCGTATAAAGAGACGAGAAAAAATTATCTGAAAAGTTGAATCCGTTAAATTCGACTGTTCACGATCATTTGAAAAATTCTCGCATTCAAAACATGAATAAAAACAATATTACTTTCCGAAYAACCTAATATATGATCGAATTCATTCAATTAGCCTAGAAATTTTTGATTATTAATATTTCAATTTTGAGGACAATAATTAATTCGGCGAGAAGACGAACTATTGTCGATGTTTCTTATCTTAACATTCATTGGCACAAGGGCGAATTAAACGACTATTAATTTTTTAATACATCCGTATTATCGAAATATTATCATCATTATTAGACAAAATATGTCGGTAATACATTTTATGCGGAGAATTATTACTGTCTCAATTTTATTTTGTTCTTCAATATTTTCTCCTTCTTTTCATTTTCCTCTTGCCCTTTTTTTTCTATTTGATTCTTTACGCAGACAGCTTCTCTAAGTAAACATCGTTATAGAATACATTAATAAAATATCGTAATAGTAACTCGCCCGCGAGCTTAGGTTAACAGTATTTTTTGTTTATTCCTCCTCTCTCTCTCTCCTTCTTTCTATTTTACTTTCCCTTTATCATTTAAATTATCCTTGAAGTCACATGGCAGATAAATATATGTTACATAATATGTATGTATATATTTATATTCATCAGTGTATGTTGCTACTTCGTGCAAGAAAACTGGTTTCTCCTATGCGTTTAGATTCCAGAGGATTGACATTAACTGCATTGGATGCAGTTTACTTAAACTTGAGTAAACTTGCAACATCCAATTAACGATGAATTTTTTAAAAGTCAAATTACCACATTTAATCTCATATGATACAAATACTGAAATTCTTAAACAGATAAAACCGACAAGATATTTATTGGGATATAATTCTAAAAAAAAGTGTTTATCCTTGCGATGATTAATATTCTATATCTCTAATGTAAATCAAATAATGACAATCATTAATAATAGTTTTGATACATCTTTAAAACATTTTTCCTCGTATAAATGAAATCTTTTTGTTCGAGAAACTAAATGTAAATGAATTCGAATTTTAATGTATTTCTTCTTTTACTTCTTTCTTTTAAAGAATAATTAAATGCATTTCACATTGACACATTAAATACAAGCGGTTATTTGTTTTTTTTCTTAATATTTTAAATATGTCGTAAGCAATGACAAATTTGGCATAAGGAAAGCGATCAAATAAAACGAACACATAATTTTTACAAACTCAATTGAAAAAAAAATCACAAGATTATCATATGATTACATTGAAATTAAAAATAACTGCCTAAACACCATTTTGAGAAAATAGATAAGTTTTTATAGAAATGATAATCGCTCTTATTTTATCGCAATTATTATTATATAGATATATATAGCCAAACTACTTTAATATTTATATAAGATAAATAAGTATTAATTAGGATCAATTTCAGACCGAATAGAAATCATTATTTCTATTGACATCTTGATTTGTAATTTAACATGAGAATTTTTCTCAAATCTAATAACATGTTGAAAGTACGCAAAAAAAGAAAATTACAAGATACTTTTGAAGAGAGACAACACGCATACGATTAAACAAGTAGAAAAATAACAATAAATTCAGATAGTCAACTGATAAATACATTCAAGAACTAGTTGTGTTATGAATAACAAATGCTGCAAAATTATTATTATGGAACAAAAGATTCTGATAATTAATATCAGAAAAAGTAGGGGGCCTTTCTCTTTGTCATGCGAATAATAAACCTAAAGTTTATCCATTAAAAAGATACGAACTAAAATGAAGCAACAAAAAATAAAAAAGTACAAGAATTTGTAGTCCCAAGTTAAACAAAAATTAAATAAAAAGTAAATTTATTTGAGAATAAGTAAAAAGATTTTTTAATGATTTACTTCGAGATCAATGATAAAAGTATAAAGATTTACGTCAAAATCAGTAAAAAAAAGTGTCGTGTTTCAAGTTAGAGTCGAGGAATAAGAATATTATYAATCATTATAGAATGACATGAAAGAAATTAACTACGACTTCAGATGCTTATTGTGCAGAAAGATACTGGAAAGGGAAACTATGAAGAGGGGGACATTACGTTAATAATATAAGTTCTATCGAACGCAGTGATTGCAACATGAGTTTCCGAAGACAGTTCACCAGTCATCATTACGAGGAGAAACTAATAGTTTTGTTCTTAGAAAAGTAGAATAAACGCGTGCAAAAAAAAAAATTTTATAACAATATTACAGTTTGTGAAATTATTTGTAAATTATTTATAAAATTATTGTGGAACATATTTTATAGTTGATGAGAGGAATTTTTGTTTATTATAAAATCTCAAGGACCGAAAAGAAATTGAAAAAATAAAAAAATGGCATTTGTGACACCATACTGGGGTCTCGACGGTATCATAATTTTTTTATCATTTTGGGTAGCCGCGTATTTTTACATGACGAGAAAATTTAAGTATTGGAAAAATCGTGGCATAACAGAAATCCCACCTGTTCCTTTTATCGGTAACTTTTGGGATTCGATTTTCATGAAAAAATCATCCGGGGAATTTGTAAAGGAATTGTACGATCAATCGAAAGGATTGCCCTACGTGGGTTTCTTCATTTTTGACAAGCCTTCGATTTTGATACGTGATCCCGAATTAGTGAAACTCGTTCTGGTCAAAGATTTCAATTATTTCTCAGACCGATATGCCTCACCTGACGTCCACGATCGTTTGGGTTACGCTAATTTATTTATGATGAAAAATCCTGGTTGGAAGGTTCTCCGTGTTAAATTAGCGCCGATATTTACGTCTGGCAAAGTGAAGTAAATGTTCGATTTCATGCTAGAAATCGGCACAGATCTCGACAAATATCTCGAATCTTTGAACTTGGGAGGTAAGAATAATTATAATTTAATATTTAAATAAGAGATTTTTCTTACGAGTTTATGACGATAAAAAAAATCGTTCGTTGTTCCACAGATAAAGAGAAAAATCTCGAAATGAAAGAAATTTGTGCAAAATTTACAACCGATTTGATCGGTACGACCGCTTTCGGTATTCGCGCCAATTCTCTGAGCAATCCTGATGCCGATTTTCGCAAATAYGGTAGAAAGATCTTCGACTACRACATWAAACGTGGCTTCGAMTTCTTGTCGATATTTTTTATCCCTGGAATCGTCAAATYGAYGGGGGCAACATTTTTCGGCAAAGAAGTGAGCAACTTTTTACGTACYMTCTTCTGGCAAGTCWTCRACGAAAGAATTGCTTCTGGTCWTAAGAGGAACGATCTGATCGATTTGWTGATCGAATTGAAWAACACTTACGGTGACCAAGATCTYGGCGGATTCAGYRAGTAAAATAAATGCGATATTACGATTYKGTATTAGARAACAAAAATAAAAACTATTCGAGAAACAACTTTTCATTACGTGTCTTAGAATTTAGCGGTGACGATTTGGTAGCACAAACAGCTGTCTTCTTTTCTGGCGGTTTTGAAACATCCTCAACGGTTATGGCCTTTACTCTTTACGAATTAGCACTTAATCAGGAAATACAGACAAAACTTAGACAAGAGATTCTGGATACTTTAAATGAAAATGACGGAAAAGTTTCTTACGATATGGTAAAAATTATTTAACAGTAGTTTTTTATATAATTTTGTTATCGATAATGATTAACTAAAACAGTTATAAGATATTATAATAGATATTAGATAAAAATATTAATAATAATGATAATAATATAAATAATAAATAAAATTACAAATATGTATATTTTTATGAAATTATAATTTTGCATATTCATTAAAGGAAAAAAATGAAAAAGACTTTATCTTTTTGTTGTTTTCGAGTTAAACTATAAATAATAGTAATAATTATGAAATGATTGCATTATGCAGTTATTTTATAACATTGCAATATGTTTGATCAGTTCTATAACGTACAAGTGCTTTTTTCCCATTAAATTAAAATTACGCATTCGCTAGAAAAATATAGTAATAAAAACTTATCTTTTTTAGTTGTTGCTTCTAATTTTAGAGTGACATTCCGACTAATATTGATTATCATATAATGTTTGCATCATTTAGATAAATTCCATGACATACATGGACATGGTCGTTTCCGAAACGTTACGAATGTATCCTCCATTAGGATTTTTGGATCGAGTTGCTACTAATGATTACAAATTACCAGATTCAGATGTAATCATTGAAAAGGGTACTCCAATTATGATATCAATGATTGGTATGCATTACGATGAACAGTACTTTCTTAATCCTACAAAATTTGATCCTGAACGATTTAATAATGTCAATAAGAAAAGCAGACCCGGTTACGTTTATTTTCCGTTTGGTGAAGGACAACGTATTTGTATAGGTAACAAACAATTGTGTTGCAACAACCATATTTATGGTTGTTCTTTTGTAATATCGTGCAATATCTTTTTTCTTTTTTTAATTAAGCTAAATGCAAATAATTAATTTTTTTCGTTTATGTAGGTTCACGAATTGGATTATTGCAAGCAAAATTAGGGATTTTACATTTACTCAAACAACACGAATATTCTCCGTCCGAGCATACAACAGTACCGATGCGTTTAAATCCAAAGGGTTTGACAGCATCGCCAATCAATGGAATACAGTTGAATGTTCGAAAATTCTTTTAGAATGTTGCTTAAATATGTTCGAAGGATTTCACACAAATGTAGTAATTATTTTAGTGTAGATTTAATGATTTCATTTTTAAAGGAACCTAAAAATTATTGGATTAATCTGTTCTTCTTTTTTGATATAATTGGACATCGTTTTCTTTTCAAATGTTTTCTTTTACTTATTCGCATTTTTAAAGATACACGAGGAAAATTCCACTTTTTTAGATTTTGTTTTTTTTCTTAATTCGGTACGATTATTTGTGATTTATGTTTGTGTATTGTGTATACTGTTTATTTCACTCGGATAATTTTCTTTTACAAAACAGATAAAACTGTCTATGTTATTAAAATTTAAGGATCATTTACATAATGACATTGCAACAATATATTTTTTAATTACGACATCTTGCAATTAAATGGAATGATAGATACCATGTAGTCGACAGTATCGTATACTTTATTCACCTCGTTCTCATTGTGTGTGTAAGTTCTGTTTGTGTGTTTGTAAGGTATGCATGTTTTTATGTGTATATTCCTGTGTGCTTATTTGTGTATGTACGTTTAATAATATTTGCACGTCTTAAATATTTTTTTCCATTTTCAAACATCATTTAATTTCATGCATATGCGATGAT